TAAAAAAAAAAATGTTAACTGTGAAAGTGTTAAAGGAAGTAATCTTTTACGGAGTCTTTTATCGTAATGCGATATAAGCATTGTTGCTTGTTTACCAATACCGATTTAATTCTACATGTATGTGATGAAATAAAAATATGCTTAAACCATATATACAACAATACCAATTCTTGACGTAATATACATATATACATCAATATAAATTACTGTCATAATATACATTTATACATACATCAATATATATTATTGACATGATATACATTTATACATATATACATAAATATGAATTATTGACATGATATACATTTATACATATATACATAAATATGAATTATTGACATGATATACATTTATACATATATACATCAATATGAATTATTGACATGATGCTGTTAATGTTAACAGCGGGTGTTGATTGTTGGGTCGAACACGCACTGTTTACATGTTGTGCTGTGACGTACAACACCAACCATTTCAAACACCGTTGTCGAGATCTCAAATGACAACAGACCTCACCGAACGTCTGTGTTTGTGCATTGGTATTTGTGTGTATTGTGTATGACATTGCGTAAACCCATACTGACGTGACAAGTTGTCCCACATATATAGGAGTAGTAGTGACAGTTATAGTTACAGGTGGGGTGAGGTGAAATGGGGTTAAATGGGGTTTAATGTCGCGTCCAAGATTATTGCACTTACATAGCGACGTGCATGCACGTGTGTGTGTTGCTTGTACTGGTCCGGAGTGATACCGATTTATAGTGCTATCACACTGAGATACCATGTCGTAGTTTAACATGAATACCGCACTCAGACACAGTATACTGACTCCGGGCCGACCAGTCCTTGTTTTAGCCCCTTAATGTCAGGGTAACAACAAGTACCATCTTTTAACGCCTTTTGGTATGACGCGGCCGGGGATCCAACCCTCAGGAAGTAGAGAATTGAAATCGAGTTCACGCTGATCCACTGCCCTGGGTAATAATTTTAGCTCTTACAGCGTGCACCTTGTATATGCAGTCGAACACTTTGTGCATAGAGTAGAACACCTTGTGTACAGAGTCGAACACCTTGTGTATAGAGTCGGACACCTTGTGTATAGAGTCGGACACCTTGTGTTTAGAGTCGGACACCTTGTGTATAGAGTCGGACACCTTGTGTATAGAGTCGGACACCTTGTGTATAGAGTCGAACACCTTGTGCATAGAGTCGAACACCTTGTGCATAGAGTCGGACACCTTGTGTATAGAGTCGGACACCTTGTGTATAGAGTCGAACACCTTGTGTATAGAGTCGAACACCTTGTGCATAGAGTCGAACACTTTGTGTATAGAGTCGTACACCTTGTGTATAGAGTCGAACACTTTGTGTATAGAGTCGAACACCTTGTGCATAGAGTCGAACACATTGTGCATAGAGTCGAACACTTTGTGTATAGAGTCGAACACCTTGTGCATAGAGTCGAACACATTGTGTATAGAGTCGAACACCTTGTGTATAGAGTCGAACACCTTGTGCATAGACTCGAACACCTAGTGCATAGAGTCGAACACCTTGTATATAGACTCGAACACTTTGTGTATAGATTCGAACACTTTTTGCATAGAGTCGAACCTTTTGTGCATAGAGTCGAACACCTAGTGCATAGAGTCGAACACATTGTGTATAGAGACGAACAACTTGTGTATAGAGTCGAACACCTTGTGTATAGAGTCGAACACATTGTGTATAGAGTCGAACACCTTGTGTATAGAGTCGAACACCTTGTGTATAGAGTCGAACACATTGTGTATAGAGTCGAACACATTGTGCATAGAGTCGAACACCTTGTGTATATAGAGTCGAACACCTTGTGTATAGAGTCGAACACATTGTGCATAGAGTCGAACACCTTGTGTATAGAGTCGAACACCTTGTGTATAGAGTCGAACACCTAGTGTATAGAGTCGAACACCTTGTGTATGGAGTCGAACACCTTGTGTATAAAGTCGAACACCTTGTGTATAGAGTCGAACACCTAGTGCATAGAGTCGAACACCTTGTGTATAGAGTCGAACACCTTGTGCATAGAGTCGAACACCTTGTGTATAGAGTCGAACACCTTGTGCATAGAGTCGAACACCTTGTGTATAGAGTCGAACACCTTGTGCATAGAGTCGAACACCTTGTGTATAGAGTCGAACACCTTGTGCATAGAGTCGAACACCTTGTGCCGGTGCCGTAGCCAGCCGGGGGGCAGTGAGGTCAGCTGCCCCCCTTGATTTTTTTTAGAAAACAGTTTTATTTGAATCAAGTTGGGGACAAGTGATACTTGCACAAAATATTTGCCCACCCCACCCCTGTCAAAATAAGTTAACTACGGCCTTGTGTGCATAGAGTCGGACACCTTGTGTATAGAGTCGGACACCTTGTGTATAGAGTCGAACACCTTGTGCCGGTGCCGTAGCCAGCCGGGGGGCAGTGAGGTCAGCTGCCCCCCTTGATTTTTTTTAGAAAACAGTTTTATTTGAATCAAGTTGGGGACAAGTGATACTTGCACAAAATATTTGCCCACCCCACCCCTGTCAAAATAAGTTAACTACGGCCTTGTGTGCATAGAGTCGGACACCTTGTGTATAGAGTCGGACACCTTGTGTATAGAGTCGAACACCTTGTGCCGGTGCCGTAGCCAGCCGGGGGGCAGTGAGGTCAGCTGCCCCCCTTGATTTTTTTTAGAAAACAGTTTTATTTGAATCAAGTTGGGGACAAGTGATACTTGCACAAAATATTTGCCCACCCCACCCCTGTCAAAATAAGTTAACTACGGCCTTGTGTGCATAGAGTCGGACACCTTGTGTTTTGAGTCGAGCGCAAAAGAAGTACAAGCATTGTTCCTAACCAGATCCCTGGGACCTCGGTTGTGACAACAATAACACGTGGGGGTGCATGGCGATAGACAAAGGCAGCTTACATCACAAGTAGAGCAAGAATGATCAGATCCCACGTGTTTTTTATGACAAATACTGGGGAAAAGATAAAAGTGCCTGAAGCAGTTTGTTAAAGACTTTCAACTTGTTCCACATGGACGAGTAATACTCTTCAGGACGGGCATTGTTTCAAACGAGTAGCGGTCGAACAAGTTCCAAACCAGTTTGTTCAATTGCATAATATAAAGATTGACAATTGACAATTAGCCACAAAGTACTTTCTTGACAAACGCTACTTTCATTTAGGTCTTTGAAAGACATTACGAAGTGATATACATAAGGAAGAGAATTTATATATGTCAACTTTATTATCTTTTTTTCATCGCCTGATGAAGAAGTAAGTACATACTCCGAAGCGTTGTGTTCCTCATTACAAGGAAGTTGACATCCATAAATTCTATTTCTTACTTTCATACCAACATATCCATGTGCAAAACACGAGTTCACACAACTTGCCTATACAGGTGTTTACCTCTTCATATTCAGTATGAAAAATGAAATACTTGAAATATTCATAACTGTAATAGCAATATTGAAAAGCTGACCAAGTCAACAAAACCATGCACGCGATCAGCTGTGGAACCCGATCTGCATGCTATAGTGTAGACTAACATTTAGTCTCTGAAATCTAATATTACACAAAATCCTTCTTGTCTCTAAAAATAAAAAGAATATTTCCCTATGCTGATTTGTGGAATAGAGCCAGCTTGAGCTGGCTAGACTTGCTTTTGTATGCGTTTCTAGATTAATTTTTTTTCAAAAAATAAATATATTCCACGGTCATGGTGCAGGACTAGCTATAGTGTGGTATTCACAAAAGACTAAATATTTCAATCATTTCACAAATTGACTTTTACATACATTTGAATGATTGACTGACAAGTATTGAGAAGTTCATAAGGACCCAGTGACATTACAATAGACTTATTATTTTGGGACTGGAAACCAGGTAAAGATTTCTCAGACAATTTGTAAACTGACTGAAATAATTAGGCATTTTGTAAATATCCTAACTGAATCAAGCATTTTACAAATTGACAGTAACAGATATACGCAACGTGGTGTCCCTAGAGTATTCCTAGTATAGGTTACCCGTGAAGATTCCGGGGTAGAATAGGTCTTCAGCAACCCATGCTTGTCGTAAAAGGCGACTAACGGGATCGGGTGGTCAGGATCGCTGACTTGGTTGATGCATGTCATTGATCCCAATTGCGTGGATCGATGCTCATGATGTTAATCGCTGGATTGTGTGGTCCATACTCGATTATTTACAGACCGCCGTCATATAGCTGGAATATTGCTGAGTGCGGCGTTAAACAACAAACCAACCTAGTATAGATCTCCAGCAAACAAAAAAAGCCATTCTATAACGTCATGGTGCCACATCACCAATAGACTTTCATGCACGTTCTTAAACTTTTATTTACGACTGATATGTCTGTCATATAATTCTCATCACTTCTTGGCATGGCAAATATTCCTTGTATAAGTCCGTGCTGATTGCCATTTAAATACTGTGGATTTAGTGGAATGATTCTCTGAGCGGGTTCTTCGCGTCGTGTCCGAATAATAATATTTTCTGAGTAAAAAGAAAGTTTCACGACATTTCCTTGCCTCGGCTTATTTAGAAGAGACCGGACCGTACAAACGCACGTTTTGAATACTCTCCAATAGCGAAAAATCCTTTTTAAATTAAATCATAGCCTTGCTCCAAGTCTGTACTGAAAGAAAAGTCCATGGATGTGTGGTAATTCTATCCTCCTAATTGACAAGTCTAGATATGTGGACAGTACAGACTCCAGTCTCTTATAGGGACAACTTGTTATTATTTACATAATCTAGAACTTATGATTTATACTAGTAGTTATTGCCTTAGAGACTTGTGCAAGTCTAATTAAATGAATGTGTTGATGTCTGCAAATCAAGCTATGCACTGAGTTACGCTCGAGGCTAAAACATTTCAACGAACTTAGCGGAAACATCGCGCACACCGCCCCAGCAGGCCAGGCTTCCTACAACTCCCCGCACCACTGTGTAAGTCACTGTCGATGTGAGGAGCTGCACTTTCTCTGCCTGCGTACTTATAAAGCTCCCTGGCCCGTAATCAACCTCGCTTATTTCTTGGAAAAGTCACGTCGGACAGAGAGCTAACACTGCACTTTTCAACCATGGCGACAAGCAAAGGACATAACAACGCCAACGGAATTATCTCCGCAATTGTGTTAGTTTTCGGTGAGTATTATGTTTTTGTGAACGAAAAGATTCGTGAGGAAGACAGCTTGTAGTGGATAGGTGAGCTTGTGCTATGCGCGCCATACTGGCTGGAAGTCAACAAGCATGGGCATCCGGTTCTCAAAACTGAATTGAATGGGAGCGAGGTTGTTGTTTGTATATCTTATCTCACACACACACACACACACACACACACACACGAAACACTACTTAGACCCTGTTGTATGTCTGTATTTCCTGTAACAATAGTATTTTCCTGATCTGTCAAGGGTACTTTATGGATGTTATTTCCTAGAAAAACAGCGTTTCAACTATTTTTCAACAATGGACGCTAAATATCGTATTAGCCGTCCATGGTGTAATCAGACCTGATTTTGGTCCATGCGGAATATACCAGACGCAGTGTGGGAGAGGCGGAATGGGGTGAAATAGTTCCATGAAAACATTTATTCATATGGTTTTGTTGCTTTTAAACCACGGATACAATGTTTACAGTTTGTTCCTAAGAAGTGACATCCATTAATTCATTGTAATTAAAAACCGCAACAAAGTATAGTTTACTTTAAAGCCAGATCTCGGGAACGTTGTGACCAACGAGCTAGATTTCGTAATTGTGAAGCAGAGATGGAGCACGTCGGTTCTGCGTGAGCTCCCTGAACACGGCCCGGTGAAACGGAACAATAACGATCAAATATTGTCGTGGGGCCGAGGGCGACATTCGGGGATTTTTAGAGCCCTTGTCTTCTGTTTTGTGTTGAAATACCAGCGATGTTATTGAAGACACCCCACACGGCCTCTCGGTCTCGGCAGTCTGGGAAATGTCTTCGTTGGTTAACCGCGCAGGCTAGAATGACGTCATTGTTATTTGCTGTCAGGGTGGCGAAGTAAATATCCTCTACAGTGCGCTACAAACGTACCGGATCTGCATGCATGTCTGGGTTAACCGGTCAAGTAAAGCTACAATACGTCACAATAGAATAGTCAAGTCATTGATAATTTCTTTACAATCCCTTTTTTCGATATTTATTATTAATTTTAATACATAAGGCTAATTTGGCACACAATGTTCACAAACGAGAAAGGTCATCATTACGCGACAGCTGGGACTAGGAAATTGCTACGTGCCTGTAATATATGATCTAATTCTATTTAAGAATTGTATTTCGTTTTTTAAGTAGAACGGTCACAAATTGTATACAATCGCGTAGTTCTGTCACTTAGGGGAAGACATGCTTTCATGATATATAAATTCATGTTTATGTGCATAGTGAATATGAATGTTTATGTGCATTTAGTGAATATGAATGTTTATGTGCATTTAGTGAATATGAATGCAAGTTTTCGGGACCTCTCGACCAAACAGAATTTCCTAAATTTGTATAACAAATTTATTTTGTAATTATTACTGCTTGAACATACAGAAACACGTACGTTTCGTATACTACTCAGTATTTCCTAAGCACCAAAATAGTCCTCTTTAGTCAAAGTTGCGATCCTTGGCAAATGAGGAATAGTATGTTATCGTTTTATGACCCGAGACTGACCACATGGTTGAAGTAACCAATAGGCAATCGTAATGGACGTCTTGTCACCTTGCTCCTCTGGACTGCTTTGGTTTGTTTGTGGTTTAACGCCGCACTCAGAAATATTCCAGCTATTTTACAATTGGGATACGATGACATGCATCAACCAAGTCAGTGAGCCTGACCACCCGATCCTGTTAGTCGCCTCTTACGACAAGCAAAGTCGGCTTTTACAGCAAGTATGGATTGCTGAAGACCTATTCTATCCCGGATCTTCACGGGTCCTCTTCTGGACTGATCAATACATTCTGACCGACGTCACCCACTCTCGGAATCAGAGATGGAAATAAGCAATAGCCTGTTTTTATAAGGGCAGGAAGTGGTATCATGAGTGGTATTGCTATATACGTTATCACTATTCGGGCTAGTGCACCTTCCAGATTAATCCCCACCCCAGCTGTACTATAGTCCTTCAACTATCATTTTCATATTCTAAAATATTTTTATTCGGACATGGAATATTACAAAACTTATGTTTCGACAGGTCAATGATTACTCGATATCTATTTTTGTGGCGTGATTGTGTGTTCAATGGAAAATAATCGTGGAAAACCGGGTGGCCAAATGAAGGTTGACGGACTAAAGTATCGTTCAAGATAGCTTCGACCATATCCAGTAAGATCCTGTAAACCGAGCTGTCATGTCAGCGAAGCCGAATTAGGCCAGTAGAATTGGTCGGAAACCCGGACATTTTACAGAACAACCAAATTTTATGTTTTTCTGTTTCCTTAAGGTATAGTTATGGTACACACAAAACCCAGACAAATTCAGACTTGAGGAAAATTGTCTACACCCATTTGAAAATAGGCCTATCATACCTATACTTGTGCCTGTATTCGGCCAAATTAGAACAAATGTGTATTCATATCACTATGTTACACAAATCTTAATGCACTCATTAAGGCTTACAAAGTTCAACAATGTAATAATTTATATTTACATGTCTTTATGAATAGTTTTTATTATAATTTTAATAATTATGTCTGTAAATCTTAAAAATATATCAATAACTTTCGTATCCTCTGAATTCTTTCACTATCTACAAGAACTGTGGATATAATTATGGTTTTAAAAAAAATATTATTATTATTATTATTATCTAATAATTTACATATCATTTTAGTTATAAGAAAAGGATAACAGCATCATATTTTTTGCTGTTTTCAACTTTATGAAATGCACATAAAAAGACAAACTTCATTGCTTTCCATATACAATGTTTGAGTGTGCTATATGAACTGGAACTATGAATATTATGGACATTATTTGAAGTATATTTACAAAGAACACATGCCAGTTTCACCTATGAGAGCACAATTAACATGATATGAAGTCTATTAATAGTTTTCATATTCTGCATTTAAGTCCTGTCTATTCTCACAGTTACTTTCACATTTGCAGTGGATGCTGCATTGAATCCCCCTTTTGACACAACTACAGGATGTGCAGAGTCTGTTAGATGATTTACAAGAACACTTTATTTCCTTCAAGAGTTCTGGAGGGGCTGGAGGCATGTCTGTTATAATTGGGACTATACTCCCTTTAACTGATTTGAAGCCATGTGTCTCTTTGTCCAAAACAGTTTTAAGAGATTTCCATGTTGACACTTGCAGATGAACCCTTAGACAATGAAAATAACATGCCCGGCTTGTTGGAGGCATGCGCTCTACACTTGTGAACTTGGTTGATTTTACATTTTTGAATCTCAACTCATCCAGTTTCTCGTTTTGTTTCCCACCATAGAGTCCACAGACATACTGTTCTCCCACTTCTTTGATTACTTGGAGAGGAACAGATGATTCTCCAAAAACTGTGACTTTCTCATGTAATTGCTCTGCGGAAGTGAAATAAGCCAGATGTTTAGATTTTCCAAAGCCGAAGAAGGAAGATGTTGTATCACAACCTGATACTGCATGAAGGAAAGGAAGATTGTGACACAATTGTTCTCCTAGGCAATGTTTTGCTTCTTTTATTGACATAGTTCTTGATCTTGTCTTCATGTAAACATTGCTCTGGGAATCCACATGATGTATCAGAAGGACAAAAATGTCAGTATCATCAGAAATGACATGGACGGTTTCATGTTTCTCTGCCAACTCCACAGCTCTTTGAACAATAACAACATCAGCGTCCCCTTCATCCCCTGCATGGCTTACTAACACACGTGAGTTCTCTTGTATGTATGATGAAAGGAGATTAATTGTTTGTTGTTTGTTTTTCTTGTTGGCAAGAAAACTTGCTGCATCACTTGGAACTGGAGTATTTGACTTCAGCATAACATCAGCCATTGCAGTTCTTGAGAGCTTTCTGCGCTTCTGTTCTTGATCTTTTGTTGTTGTTACATCATAACTGTCGAACACAACAGTTACCTCATGATTCAAGGATGACCTGTGATGAATTGTAGAGAGGAATATTTCACAGACGTCCAACATTGTCCCAACCTTTGGCCATTTCAACTGTTGAAGTAACGCACATCCATCAAAGACTGTTGATACTGATGGAACATCAGTTTCAACATTTGAAGTCATCTTCATTATGCATTTGGCGAGTTGTGATTTCGTTGATTTTCTCATGCTACCATCATCATGGAACAAGGCAGGTGCCACAGACGAAAGTTCATGGCAGAACACAGATGGAGATGGTGGTCCTATTGTGTAGGCAATAGCGAGAAGTCGTTGATACAACTCAAGTGATGACATGCGAAGTCTTTCTCCACTTGTTAGTGTTACTGCACGTTTCATGATGTCAAATGTCACCACTTGTTGACTTTTCTTCATTGAAACATCTCCAAAAGAATGGTTTGTAATTAGAGATTGTATTGAACTTCCTATACTGACTGTTCTGTCAGCATTAACCCTGTCATCAGCAATAACACAAGTAGCTATGTTGCGAAGTTCAGACTGGACTCCAGTAAATGGATTGTGACTTCGTAGGAAATCTAAGAATTTGTTCATATCAATGTAATCTTGATTCATTCTTCCTGGATTTAGTTCTCGATGATGATCACTCCATGAATTTGATGATGTATTTGTCAACATTCTCAACTCCTCTGTGTACTGTGCAACAATGTGTGCTGATAGAAGCCATCTTGTCCTTGCACTGTCTTGGTGAGTTATGTTTATGAGACCGCCTGATGTCTTCCCTGACCTCATGAGAGATTGTTCTATCACCATATCAGACCAAGTGCCACTCCAGAATAACTTTTGACTCCGATGAATCGTAAAGAGGCCATCCTCTAGTGGTTTGTGAAGACAGGGGCATGGATGTACAAAATCTTGAATATATAGACGACAATACTTGGCATAATTGTTATGTCCTGTTGCAGCAAACCAGGGAAGCATGTCTTGTGAAGCTTTCAAATGCAGGAGCCAATCACCTGTTCTTTCAGCTCTAATGAACATACACATTGTTGAGACA